ATGTTTGACCTGTGTCATTGCCAACAAAGGGTATATAACAAAGTATTGAGAAACTTTTGTTATTGACCAAATACTTATTTTCCACCATAATTTGCATATAAATTCATTAAAAATCCTACAATGTGATTTTCTGGAATTTTTTTCCTCATTTTGACTGTCATAGTTGACGTGTACCTATGATGAAAATTACAGGCCTCTCTCATCTTAAGTGGGAGAACTTGCTCAATTGGTGGCTGACTAAATACTTTTTTTCCCCACTGTATCTATATGTTCACCATCTAAATGTCTATATATATATATATATGTTGACCATCTAAATGTCTATATCTATATGTTGACCATCTAAATGTCTATATCTATATGTTGACCATCTAAATGTTTATATCTATATGTTGACCATCTAAATATCTATATCTATATGTTGACCATCTAAATGTCTATATCTATATGTTGACCATCTAAATGTCTATATCTATATCTATATGTTGACTATCTAAATGTCTATATCTATATCTATATGTTGACCATCTAAATGTCTATATCTATATGTTGACCATCTAAATGTCTATATCTATGTTCACCATCTAAATGTCTATATCTATATGTTCACCATCTAAATGTCTATATCTATATGTTGACCATCTAAATGTCTATATCTATATGTTGACCATCTAAATGTCTATATCTATATGTTGACCATCTAAATGTTTATATCTATATGTTGACCATCTAAATGTCTATATCTATATGTTGACCATCTAAATGTCTATATCTATATCCATATGTTGACCATCTAAATGTCTATATCTATATGTTGACCATCTAAATGTCTATATCTATATGTTGACCATCTAAATGTCTATATCTATATGTTGACCATCTAAATGTCTATATCTATATGTTGACCATCTGAATGTCTATATCTATATGTTGACCATCTGAATGTCTATATCTATATGTTGACCATCTAAATGTCTATATCTATATGTTGACCATCTAAATGTCTATATCTATATGTTGACCATCTGAATGTCTATATCTATATGTTCACATCTAAATGTCTATATCTATATGTTGACCATCTAAATGTCTATATCTATATGTTGACCATCTGAATGTCTATATCTATATGTTCACCATCTAAATGTCTATATCTATATGTTGACCATCTAAATGTCTATATCTATATGTTCACCATCTAAATGTCTATATCTATATCTATATCTATATGTTGACCATCTAAATGTCTATACAGTGGGGAAAAAAAGTATTTAGTCAGCCACCAATTGTGCAAGTTCTCCCACTTAAAAAGATGAGAGAGGCCTGTAATTTTCATCATAGGTACACGTCAACTATGACAGACAAATTGTGAAAAGAAATTCCAGAAAATCACATTGTAGGATTTTTTATGAATTTATTAGCAAATTATGGTGGAAAATAAGTATTTGGTCACCTACAAACAAGCAAGATTTCTGGCTCTCACAGACCTGTAACTTCTTCTTTAAGAGGCTCCTCTGTCCTCCACACGTTACCTGTATTAATGGCACCTGTTTGAACTTGTTATCAGCATAAAAGACACCTGTCCACAACCACAAACAGTCACACTCCAAACTCCACTATGGCCAAGACCAAAGAGCTATCAAAGGACACCAGAAACAAAATTGTAGACCTGCACCAGGCTGGGAAGACTGAATCTGCAACAGGTAAGCAGCTTGGTTTGAAGAAATCAACTGTGGGAGCAATTATTAGGAAATGGAAGACATATAAGACCACTGATAATCTCCCTCGATCTGGGGCTCCACGCAAGATCTCACCCTGTGGGGTCAAAATTATCACAAGAACGGTGAGCAAAAATCCCAGAACCACACGGGGGGACCTAGTGAATGACCTGCAGAGAGCTGGGACCAAAGTAACAAAGCCTACCATCAGTAACACACTACGCCGCCAGGGACTAAAATCCTGCAGTGCCAGACGTGTCCCCCTGCTTAAGCCAGTACATGTCCAGGCCCGTCTGAAGTTTGCTAGAGTGCATTTGGATGATCCAGAAGAGGATTGGGAGAATGTCATATGGTCAGATGAAACCAAAATATAACTTTTTGGTAAAAACTCAACTCGTCGTGTTTGGAGGACAAAGAATGCTGAGTTGCATTCAAAGAACACCATACCTACTGTGAAGCATGGGGGTGGAAACATCATGCTTTGGGGCTGTTTTTCTGCAAAGGGACCAGGACGACTAATCCGTGTAAAGGAAAGAATGAATGGGGCCATGTATCGTGAGATTTTGAGTTAAAACCTCCTTCCATCAGCAAGGGCATTGAAGATGAAACGTGGCTGGGTCTTTCAGCATGACAATGATCCCAAACACACTGCCCGGGCAACGATGGAGTGGCTTCGTAAGAAGCATTTCAAGGTCCTGGAGTGGCCTAGCCAGTCTCCAGATCTCAACCCCATAGAAAATCTTTGGAGGGAGTTGAAAGTCTGTGTTGCCCAGCGACAGCCCCAAAACATCACTGCTCTAGAGGAGATCTGCATGGAGGAATGGGCCAAAATACCAGCAACAGTGTGTGAAAACCTTGTGAAGACTTACAGAAAATGTTTGACCTGTGTCATTGCCAACAAAGGGTATATAACAAAGTATTGAGAAACTTTTGTTATTGACCAAATACTTATTTTCCACCATAATTTGCATATAAATTCATTAAAAATCCTACAATGTGATTTTCTGGAATTTTTTTCCTCATTTTGACTGTCATAGTTGACGTGTACCTATGATGAAAATTACAGGCCTCTCTCATCTTAAGTGGGAGAACTTGCTCAATTGGTGGCTGACTAAATACTTTTTTCCCCCACTGTATCTATATGTTCACCATCTAAATGTCTATATCTATACGTTGACCATCTAAATGTCTATATCTATATGTTGACCATCTAAATATCTATATGTTGACCATCTAAATGTCTATATCTATATGTTGACCATCTAAATGTCTATATCTATATGTTGACCATCTAAATGTCTATATCTATATGTTGACCATCTAAATGTCTATATCTATATGTTGACCATCTAAATGCCTATATCTATATGTTGACCATCTAAATGTCTATATCTAAATGTCTATATCTATATGTTGACCATCTAAATGTCTATATCTATATCTATATGTTGACCATCTAAATGTCTATATCTATGTTGACCATCTAAATGTCTATATCTATATGTTGACCATCTAAATGTCTATATCTATATGTTGACCATCTAAATGTCTATATCTATATCTATATGTTGACCATCTGAATGTCTATATCTACAGTGGGGGAAAAAAGTATTTAGTCAGCCACCAATTGTGCAAGTTCTCCCACTTAAAAAGATGAGAGAGGCCTGTAATTTTCATCATAGGTACACGTCAACTATGACAGACAAAATGAGGGAAAAAAAATCCAGAAGATCACATTGTAGGATTTGTAATGAATTTATTTGCAAATTATGGTGGAAAATAAGTATTTGGTCAATAACAAAAGTTTCTCAATACTTTGTTATATACCCTTTGTTGGCAATGACACAGTTCAAATGTTTTCTGTAAGTCTTCACAAGGTTTTCACACACTGTTGCTGGTATTTTGGCCCATTCCTCCATGCAGATCTCCTCTAGAGCAGTGATGTTTTGGGGCTGTCGCTGGGCAACACAGACTTTCAACTCCCTCCAAAGATTTTCTATGGGGTTGAGATCTGGAGACTGGCTAGGCCACTCCAGGACCTTGAAATGCTTCTTACGAAGCCACTCCTTCGTTGCCTGGGCGGTGTGTTTGGGATCATTGTCATGCTGAAAGACCCAGCCACGTTTCATCTTCAATGCTTTCACTCAAAATCTCACGATACATGGCCCCATTCATTCTTTCCTTTACACGGATCAGTCGTCCTGGTCCCTTTGCAGAAAAACAGCCCCAAAGCATGATGTTTCCACCCCCATGCTTCACAGTAGGTATGGTGTTCTTTGGATGCAACTCAGCATTCTTTGTCCTCCAAACACGACAAGTTGAGTTTTTACCAAAAAGTTCTATTTTGGTTTCATCTGACCATATGACATTCTCCCAATCCTCTTCTGGATCATCCAAATGCACTCTAGCAAACTTCAGATGGGCCTGGACATGTACTGGCTTAAGCAGGGGGACACGTCTGGCACTGCAGGATTTGAGTCCCTGGCGGCGTAGTGTGTTACTGATGGTAGGCTTTGTTACTTTGGTCCCAGCTCTCTGCAGGTCATTCACTAGGTCCCCCCGTGTGGTTCTGGGATTTTTGCTCACCGTTCTTGTGATCATTTTGACCCCACGGGGTGAGATCTTGCGTGGAGCCCCAGATCGAGGGAGATTATCAGTGGTCTTGTATGTCTTCCATTTCCTAATAATTGCTCCCACAGTTGATTTCTTCAAACCAAGCTGCTTACCTATTGCAGATTCAGTCTTCCCAGCCTGGTGCAGGTCTACAATTTTGTTTCTGGTGTCCTTTGACAGCTCTTTGGTCTTGGCCATAGTGGAGTTTGGAGTGTGACTGTTTGAGGTTGTGGACAGGTGTCTTTTATACTGATAACAAGTTCAAACAGGTGCCATTAATACAGGTAACGAGTGGAGGACAGAAGAGCCTCTTAAAGAGGAAGTTACAGGTCTGTGAGAGCCAGAAATCTTGCTTGTTTGTAGGTGACCAAATACTTATTTTCCACCATAATTTGCAAATAAATTCATTAAAAATCCTACAATGTGATTTTCTGGATTTTTTTTCCTCAATTTGTCTGTCATAGTTGACGTGTACCTATGATGAAAATTACAGGCCTCTCTCATATTTTTAAGTGGGAGAACTTGCACAATTGGTGGCTGACTAAATACTATTTTTCCCCACTGTATATGTTGACCATCTAAATGTTTATCTATATGTTGACCATCTAAATGTCCATCTGCTCTGTTTTATTGACTGATGCTTAGTTTTCATGATCTCTCCCCACAGACAAAGAGTTTGAGGCTCAACCTGGTGCATCAGAAGACAAAGACGAGGACAGGGAGAGAAGCTCAAAGAGGCCACGGCCACTCCGCTCTGAGAAGGTTTCCCTTGTGAAGGAGCAGGAACAAGCAGGAAGCACCAAGAACCCCATCATCAGTGTGGTTCTCACCGCTCACGAGGCACTTCCTGGTAAGTCACAACTACATTATGGATGCGGCCCAATTGGCACTCTATTATCTACAGGGTGCGATACTTTTGACCAGGGCCCATAGGGAATAGGGTGTAGGGAATAGGGTGTAGGGAATAGCGTGTAGGGAATAGGGTGTAGGGAATAGGGTGTAGGGAATAGGGTGTAGGGAATAGCGTGTAGGGAATAGCGTGTAGGGAATAGGGTGTAGGGAATAGCGTGTAGGGAATAGCGTGTAGGATCAACCTGAGGATCTTCAGATTTTAATCCAGAAAAGTATAGATTTCACAATGTTGCTGTTGGTACATTTTCACCTGAGTTTTATGCATGAAAAATCAGGAAGGTTTATAGTCTATGTGTTCCCGATGACTTGTCTTTGTATCTAGGCTGTATAAACGTTTATATTTGTATCTACCTGTGCATTTGTTCATTTAGGTGCGACAAGGATAGTGCCGATCGAGGCCACCCCAGCAGAGCCGACTGTTACTGCAGACACAGACTCTCAGGAAGCGGGACAGAAGAGAGGTTTTCAGGAATATTCCATACAACAAGCTGCTTATGAAGTGCCATTAAAGTCAAACAGGTACAGACGTTTGGTTGTACAACACACAGTAGCTGAAGATAAACTACCCAGACTGTATTGTGGCATTAATAAATGGAACATAGTGATGTCTTGAGTGAACTGAATCAATGTAGTCTACAGTATTATCTAGCAGAGTGAAATGTCAGTCTAGTCTACTATATTCACCACTTCAATGGACGTGTCAACAACAGATTTCAGCTTTGTTACTGTAGATACAAACATGACGTTTTTGCTATAGCTCAAATTGTATTTTGGCAAGTTACTGGTTCTACTGTATGTATATTGCAACATTCCTCGTTCATACAGAATAGGACAGACCCAGTTGAAGATCTTCACCTGCGAATACTGCAACAAGGTCTTCAAGTTCCGCCACTCCTTGCAGGCCCATCTGCGAACCCACACCAACGAGAAACCCTTCAAGTGCCCACACTGCGACTACGCCAGTGCCATCAAAGCCAACCTCAGCGTTCACATGCGCAAACACACGGGAGAGAAGTTCAGCTGTGAGCACTGCTCCTTCCAGTGCCTCAGCAAGGGCCACCTCAAGGTGCACGTGGAGAGAGTTCACCACAAGATCAAGCAGCACTGTCGCTTCTGCAAGAAGAAGTACTCTGACGTCAAGAACCTGCTCAAGCACATGAAGGAGAGCCACGACCTGGAGGACAAGAAGGTGAAGGACTGCTCTCTTTTTTAAAATCTATCATATGCCTTTATACTGTCTTTATTATGAGATCTTATTGATGTAGTTATTAATAACATGTATTATTATGAAGGTGAAGGACTCCTACCATGAGTACAGTCTACAGACCAGAGAAGGCAAGAGGCAGCTCCTCTACGACTGCCAGATCTGCGACCGCAAGTTCAAGAACGAGCTGGACCGCGACCGCCACATGATGGTCCACGGCAGCGAGAGGCCGTTCGGCTGCGAGCTGTGTGACCACGGCTGCACCAAGTTCCAGGCTCTCCAAGCGCATGTCCGCAAGCACCCCTTCCTCTACGTGTGTGCTGCCTGCCAGCAGAGGTTTGTCAGTTCCGTGCGGCTTAAGGCCCACCTGAAGGAGGCTCACCCAGAATCAGAGGAGGCGGCCGGGTTCTCAGAGTCCATCAACAGCAGCTTCTGTCTGCTGGAGCCGGGGGACGACATCAAGAGAGAGATGCTGAGACAGGATGAGATCAGGATGGCTGAGGAGCTGTCTCTACTCAACGCCCAGCAGGAGGAGGATGAGGAGGAGGCCCTCGCTGGTGACCCTTCAGAGGAGCAGGAGGAGGCCCTCGCTGGTGACCCTTCAGAGGAGCAGGGGGAGGCCCTCGCTGGTGACCCTTCAGAGGAGCAGGAGGAGGCCCTCGCTGGTGACCCTTCAGAGGAACAGGAGGAGGCCCTCGCTGGTGACCCTTCAGAGGAGCAGGAGGAGGCCCTCGCTGGTGACCCTTCAGAGGAGCAGGAGGAGGCCCTCGCTGGTGACCCTTCAGAGGAACAGGAGGAGGCCCTCGCTGGTGACCCTTCAGAGGAACAGGAGGAGGCCCTCGCTGGTGACCCTTCAGAGGAGCAGGAGGAGGCCCTCGCTGGTGACCCTTCAGAGGAGCAGGAGGAGGCCCTCGCTGGTGACCCTTCAGAGGAACAGGAGGAGGCCCTCGCTGGTGGCCCTTCAGAGGAACAGGAGGAGGCCCTCGCTGGTGACCCTTCAGAGGAGCAGGAGGAGGCCCTCGCTGGTGACCCTTCAGAAAAACAGGAGGAGGCCCTCGCTGGTGTCCCTTCAGAGAAACAGGAGGAGGCCCTCGCTGGTGACCCTTCAGAGGAGCAGGAGGAGGCCCTCGCTGGTGACCCTTCAGAGGAACAGGAGGAGGCCCTCGCTGGTGACCCTTCAGAGGAGCAGGAGGAGGCCCTCGCTGGTGACCCTTCAGAGGAGCAGGAGGAGGCCCTCGCTGGTGACCCTTCAGAGGAGCAGGAGGAGGCCCTCGCTGGTGACCCTTCAGAGGAGCAGGGGGATGGGGTGGAACAGGGAGAGGGGCTGGGAGAGTGGGAGGAACAGGTGGTCCCTGATCCGGGCCCTAAGGGGCAGACTGTAGAGACATACGTGTTGAACCAACCTGCACAAGAGACTGAGACTCTACAAGACAGAACTGAGCCAATCAGTCCTGAACAAACCCAGACAACAAGCAAAGGCACGGCCCAGGAAGTAATCAGCGAGGAGAGACCTGATAAGACACTGATGGAGGAAGACGAGCCTCATGGGGAGAATAACGTCACTGTGGCTGAACAAGACACTTTGGTAGAAAGGCCTTCAGGCAAGGAGGAATCAGTGGGCCACCAGCAGTATCATGAAGAAGACAAGGGTTCTTCATCAACATCACAAGGTCATGTTGAGGAGACTCTCCGGTCTTTGATTCAGGGGGAGGTCATAGGTCAAACAAACACTTCAGCAGGACCACAAGGAGAGGATGGTACAACGGAGGAGAGGAGCGCATTCCAACAGATTCTAGATAAGCTGCAGAAAAGGCAGCTGAACATGGTTGTCTTTGAGAGAATACGGAAAGTATACGGGGACCTGGAATGTGAATACTGTGGTAAGAATATATCACGCAAATATATTGACATAGAAATCATTTTATTATAGCAGTATAAATTGCATTTTTACAAGAGTTTGTAATTTCAGCTATTTCATCATTTCATATGTGTTGGTAATTCATCTGTAAACCACCTGTTTTCTAGCCACGTGTTTTTTTTTGTTCCCCGTCTAGGAAAGCTCTTCTGGTACCAAGTCCACTACAACATGCATGTGCGCACTCACACAAAAGAGCATCTACATTACTGTACCCAGTGCAGCTATTCTTCCATCACCAAGAACTGCCTGAAGCGCCATCTAATCCAGAGACACAGTAACGTCCTGCTCCAGTGCCCCATGGAAGACTGCCAGTACTGCACACCTGACAAGTACAAGCTGCAGGCCCACCTCAAAACACACTTTGACAACGTAAGTCTGGGACCGCGTCCCAAATGACACCCTGTTCTCTATATAGTGGGCTACTTTTGATCAGGGACCCATAGGGGACACATCATCTGATAATTATAGCACGTTTCTGTTTTTTGATGATTTTGGACTCTAACGTCATTCATTTTTAATATTAAAGGAGAAGAAAAGCTTTGCTTGCCCTGTGTGTGAGGAAACGTTCACTGAAGATAAACTTAAGCTTCATATCAGGAACTTTCATCCAGGTAAGAGACCGGAAACTAAGCCCGATCTTTGTTTGGGTGTTCTCTGTGGAGTTTGATTTTGTTCACAACAGCAGAGCGTTAATGATGTTTAAATCTAAAAATCATACCCATTTCCTGATTGAAGCCAGGCATAAAGGTAAGTAAGCCTTGTCCGAGCCAGAACGGCCCATAGGGCAGGAGCCTTTCTGAAGCTCGAGGCAGCTTTAATGTACATGTACACCCCCTGGGGCAGGACGCTAGCTATGTGGGTAAAACCATCTCTATCCGCAGATACGCCGATGAACGCCATCTCTGAGGCGCTGGGGGTGAGGGTGCAGATGAAGGGCTTGATCGGGAAGAGAGCGTCCAAGTGCCCTTATTGTGACAGCTACTTCATGAGGAACGGAGCAGATCTACAGCAGCACATCTGGGCTCACGAAGGTAGGACATCAAACTAAATAGGCTGGGTAACAAATGACGTCCTGTTCCTTATAATGCCTTCTACTTTTGGACAAATAAAGTGGTTTTCTCCACATTTAAAAGGCAATAGCAACTACCACACTTAACCTTTTCGAGGAATTTTTTTACTTGTAATGAATGTGCAATGTGGTTGTCTTATCGATGTGATATGTGGTTGTCTTATCGCTGTGATATGTGGTTGTCTTATCGCTGTGATATGTGGTTTTCTTATCGCTGTGATATGTGGTTGTCTTATCGATGTGATATGTGGTTGTCTTATCGCTGTGATACAGTGGGGGAAAAAGGTATTTAGTCAGCCACCAATTGTGCAAGTTCTCCCACTTAAAAAGATGAGAGGCCTGTAATTTTCATCATAGGTACACGTCAACTATGACAGACAAAATGAGAAGAAAAAAAATCCTGAAAATCACATTGTAGGATTTGTAATGAATTTGCAAATTATGGTGGAAAATAAGTATTTGGTCAATAACAAAAGTTTCTCAATACTTTGTTATATACCCTTTGTTGGCAATGACACAGGTCAAACGTTTTCTGTAAGTCTTCACAAGGTTTTCACACACTGTTGCTGGTATTTTGGCCCATTCCTCCATGCAGATCTCCTCTAGAGCAGTGATGTTTTGGGGCTGTCGCTGGGCAACACAGACTTTCAACTCCCTCCAAAGATTTTCTATGGGGTTGAGATCTGGAGACTGGCTAGGCCACTCCAGGACCTTGAAATGCTTCTTACGAAGCCACTCCTTCGTTGCCCGGGCGGTGTGTTTGGGATCATTGTCATGCTGAAAGACCCAGCCACGTTTCATCTTCAATGCCCTTGCTGATGGAAGGAGGTTTTCACTCAAAATCTCACGATACATGGCCCCATTCATTCTTTCCTTTACACGGATCAGTCGTCCTGGTCCCTTTGCAGAAAAACAGTTCCAAAGCATGATGTTTCCACCCCCATGCTTCACAGTAGGTATGGTGTTCTTTGGATGCAACTCAGCATTCTTTGTCCTCCAAACACGACAAGTTGAGTTTTTACCAAAAAGTTATATTTTGGTTTCATCTGACCATATGACATTCTCCCAATCCTCTTCTGGATCATCCAAATGCACTCTAGCAAACTTCAGACGGGCCTGGACATGTACTGGCTTAAGCAGGAGGACACGTCTGGCACTGCAGGATTTGAGTCCCTGACGGCGTAGTGTGTTACTGATGGTAGGCTTTGTTACTTTGGTCCCAGCTCTCTGCAGGTCATTCACTAGGTCCCCCCGTGTGGTTCTGGGATTTTTGCTCACCGTTCTTGTGATCATTTTGACCCCACAGGGTGAGATCTTGCGTGGAGCCCCAAATCAAGGGAGATTATCAGTGGTCTTGTATGTCTTCCATTTCCTAATAATTGCTCCCACAGTTGATTTCTTCAAACCATGCTGCTTACCTATTGCAGATTCAGTCTTCCCAGCCTGGTGCAGGTCTACAATTTTGTTTCTGGTGTCCTTTGACAGCTCTTTGGTCTTGGCCATAGTGGAGTTTGGAGTGTGACTGTTTGAGGTTGTGGACAGGTGTCTTTTATACTGATAACAAGTTCAAACAGGTGCCATTAATACAGGTAACGAGTGGAGGACAGAGGAGCCTCTTAAAGAAGAAGTTACAGGTCTGTGAGAGCCAGAAATCTTGCTTGTTTGTAGGTGACCAAATACTTATTTTCCACCATAATTTGCAAATAAATTCATTAAAAATCCTACAATGTGATTTTCTGGATTTTTTTTCCTCAATTTGTCTGTCATAGTTGACGTGTACCTATGATGAAAATGACAGGCCTCTCTCATCTTTTTAAGTGGGAGAACTTGCACAATTGGTGGCTGACTAAATACTTTTTTCCCCCACTGTATGTGGTTGTCTTATCGATGTGATATGTGGTTGTCTTATCGATGTGATATGTGGTTGTCTTATCGATGTGATATGTGGTTGTATTACCTACCTTATTTGAATGCATTGACTGTAAATCACTCTGGATAAGAGTGTCTGCTAAATGATCACTGACTGTAAATCACCCTGGATAAGAGTGTCTGCTAAATGATCACTGACTGTAAATCACCCTGGATAAGAGTGTCTGCTAAATGATCACTGACTGTAAATCACCCTGGATATGAGTGTCTGCTAAATGATCACTGACTGTAAATCACCCTGGATAAGAGTGTCTGCTAATTGATCACTGACTGTAAATCACCCTGGATAAGAGTGTCTGCTAATTGATCACTGACTGTAAATCACTCTGGATAAGAGTGTCTGCTAAATGACCACTGACTGTAAATCACTCTGGATAAGAGTGTCTGCTAAATGACCAAAATGTAAATGCCGCTGTATCTCTTCCCCCTGTTAGGAGTGAAGCCCTTCAAGTGTTCCCTGTGTGATTATGCCAGCCGCAGCAAGAGCAACCTGAAGGCCCACATGAGCAGACACACCACGGAGAAGACACATCTGTGTGACATGTGTGGCAAGAAGTTCAAGTCCAAGGTCACTCTGAAGAGCCACAAGCTGATGCACACAGAGGACGGTGAGAGAAATCCATACGCTTTGAGATCTAGGGCGGGGTTCCAAATAATGGCACCCTATTCACTATATAGTGCACTACGTTTGACCAGAGCCCAATAGTAGTGCACTATAAAGGGAATAGGGTGCCATTTGGGACACGTCCACGATTTGAGATCCAGTGGGGGTAACATTTAGTATTTTATCTTTGACAGTACTAACCTGTCTGTGTCCCTCCTCCATAATGTAGGTAAGCAGTTCAAATGTACAGAGTGTGATTACAGCGCTGCACAGAAACCTCTGCTGGTGAGACACATGGAGCAGCACGCCTCTTTCAAGGTGATCAGACGAGGGGAGTCTTTATACAACGCTTCTATAATACAGTCGCTAGCGTCAATGTATCAACACCAGCCAATAACTATTTCAACTTCCACTACCATAAAATACTTTCGGACAGCTTAAGGGATCGCACAATGTTTCTTCAGAAAAAATGACCCATTTTCTAGTCTTCATTATTGTTTGAAGACAACTGAAATGTGTTTTCCACAGCCCTACCGCTGCGGCCACTGTCACTACTCCTGTAACATAGCAGGACCCCTGAAGAGACATTACAGCAAGAAGCACCCCGACCAGGAGTACTGTAACGCAGGGCCTGGGCCAGCCACCTCTGAGGCTGTGGAACAGCAAGGTGAGTCCCTCAGCAAATACACACTGACCTCTGGAATGGACAAAACATTTGTGGAGATCATACTGTACCAACCAGAAACCCACATTTTACATATATATTAACATTTAGCAGACGCTCTTATCCAGAAAGACTTTGTGTATTCAACTAAGTTTAATGGGGAAAAACAAGTACATATCAGTCATATCAGTTCAAGTAGACCAGTCTTCAAACTAGAACATGGAATTAGTCTTTACTCAGTAAAGCAAAAGGAGAAACCTGCATACTGTTTCTGTTCCCTATGAAAATGTTCGTATTAAATGACTAATACAAGTGCTTTGGTACATGGATCTCTTCAACCAGGTGGAGTGTCCTGTGTGTGACTATGTCCTGTATCTCTAGGTGGAGTGAAGTGTCCCGTGTGTGACTATGTCCTGTATCTCTAGGTGGAGTGAAGTGTCCCGTGTGACTATGTCCTGTATCTCTAGGTGGAGTGAAGTGTCCCGTGTGTGACTATGTCCTGTATCTCTAGGTGGAGTGAAGTGTCCTGTATCTCTAGGTGGAGTGAAGTGTCCCGTGCGTGACTATGTCCTGTATCTCTAGGTGGAGTGAAGTGTCCCGTGTGTATGTCCTGTATCTCTAGGTGGAGTGAAGTGTCCCGTGCGTGACTCTGTCCTGTATCTCTAGGTGGAGTGAAGTGTCCCGTGTGTGACTATGTCCTGTATCTCTAGGTGGAGTGAAGTGTCCCGTGCGTGACTATGTCCTGTATCTCTAGGTGGAGTGAAGTGTCCCATGCGTGACTATGTCCTGTATCTCTAGGTGGAGTGAAGTGTCCCGTGCGTGACTATGTCCTGTATCTCTAGGTGGAGTGAAGTGTCCCGTGCGTGACTATGTCCTGTATCTCTAGGTGGAGTGAAGTGTCCCGTGTGACTATGTCCTGTATCTCTAGGTGGAGTGAAGTGTCCTGTATCTCTAGGTGGAGTGAAGTGTCCTGTATCTCTAGGTGGAGTGAAGTGTCCCGTGCGTGACTATGTCCTGTATCTCTAGGTGGAGTGAAGTGTCCCGTGCGTGACTATGTCCTGTATCTCTAGGTGGAGTGAAGTGTCCCGTGTGTGACTATGTCCTGTATCTCTAGGTGGAGTGAAGTGTCCTGTATCTCTAGGTGGAGTGAAGTGTCCCGTGTGTGACTATGTCCTGTATCTCTAGGTGGAGTGAAGTGTCCCGTGTGTGACTATGTCCTGTATCTCTAGGTGGAGTGAAGTGTCCTGTATCTCTAGGTGGAGTGAAGTGTCCCATGCGTGACTATGTCCTGTATCTCTAGGTGGAGTGAAGTGTCCCGTGTGTGACTATGTCCTGTATCTCTAGGTGGAGTGAAGTGTCCTGTGTGACTATGTCCTGTATCTCTAGGTGGAGTGAAGTGTCCCGTGCGTGACTCTGTCCTGTATCTCTAGGTGGAGTGAAGTGTCCCGTGTGTGACTATGTCCTGTATCTCTAGGTGGAGTGAAGTGTCCCGTGCGTGACTATGTCCTGTATCTCTAGGTGGAGTGAAGTGTCCCGTGCGTGACTATGTCCTGTATCTCTAGGTGGAGTGAAGTGTCCCGTGCGTGACTATGTCCTGTATCTCTAGGTGGAGTGAAGTGTCCCGTGCGTGACTATGTCCTGTATCTCTAGGTGGAGTGAAGTGTCCCATGCGTGACTATGTCCTGTATCTCTAGGTGGAGTGAAGTGTCCCGGTGACTATGTCCTGTATCTCTAGGTGGAGTGAAGTGTCCTGTATCTCTAGGTGGAGTGAAGTGTCCTGTATCTCTAGGTGGAGTGAAGTGTCCCGTGCGTGACTATGTCCTGTATCTCTAGGTGGAGTGAAGTGTCCCGTGCGTGACTATGTCCTGTATCTCTAGGTGGAGTGAAGTGTCCCGTGCGTGACTATGTCCTGTATCTCTAGGTGGAGTGAAGTGTCCCGTGTGGTGACTATGTCCTGTATCTCTAGGTGGAGTGAAGTGTCCTGTATCTCTAGGTGGAGTGAAGTGTCCCGTGTGTGACTATGTCCTGTATCTCTAGGTGGAGTGAAGTGTCCCGTGTGTGACTATGTCCTGTATCTCTAGGTGGAGTGAAGTGTCCTGTATCTCTAGGTGGAGTGAAGTGTCCCGTGTGTGACTATGTCCTGTATCTCTAGGTGGAGTGAAGTGTCCCGTGTGTGACTATGTCCTGTATCTCTAGGTGGAGTGAAGTGTCCCGTGTGTGACTATGTCCTGTATCTCTAGGTGGAGTGAAGTGTCCCGTGCGTGACTATGTCCTGTATCTCTAGGTGGAGTGAAGTGTCCCGTGCGTGACTATGTCCTGTATCTCTATGTGGAGTGAAGTGTCCCGTGTGACTATGTCCTGTATCGCTAGGTGGAGTGAGGTCCTGTGTGTGACTACGTCCTGTATCGCTAGGTGGAGTGAAGTGTCCCGTGTGTGACTATGTGTACGGCACCAAGTGGGAGATGAACAGACACCTGAAGAACAAGCATGGCCTCAAAGTGATTCAGAGTGACGTGCTTGGTCTGAACCAATGGGAGGTAAGGTTTCAAACACTCCTATATATGGTCAATATTAAGATGTTTTTCCTATGTTTAGACACTGTGTTAAGTGTGGTGTGTGTGTGTGTGTGTGTGTGTGTGTGTGTGTGTGTGTGTGTGTGTGTGTGTGTGTGTGTGTGTGTGTGTGTGTGTGTGTGTGTGTGTGCGTGTCGTGTGTGGTGTGTTCTGAGGTGGTGGAGCAGTCGATGGAGCAGCCTCTTACCCAGTACCTCCACATCACTGAGACAGAGGACCCTCAGGGGACCGAAGCTGCCGTGTCGGCCCTCCAGGACCTCCGGTTCACAGAGAACGGTTAGGACAAGTAGTCAGCACTTAAGTTAGCCTGGTCCCAGATCTGTTTGTGCCCTTGCCAACGCCATTGCTCCTTGTCAAGCCACATACGACAAGAGTGACAAGGAGTTGATACATCCTTGGTTTGCTCACTGTGTTTCATGTATTTGAATGCATTCCTCTCGCTCTGCTTAGGGGTGGCGTCGACCACCACAGAAGGGCTGGATCCCACAGCGGTTAACATCCTCCAGCAGATCATTGAGCTGGGGGCAGAGTCCAATGATGCCACGGTGGCCTCCATGGTGACCATGGCCCCTGGCAGAGTGACCGTGGTGGAGCAGGTAAGGCTTGTGTCCCAATTGAAACCTTATTCCATTTATAGTGTACAACTTTTAACCAGGGCCCTCTGGTAAACGGAGTGCACTATAAAGAGAATATGGGTGCTTGTGCCCTTGTCATTTGGGACATCTCACTCCCAACACGTTCCATTCCTCTTTCCACCATCTTCCAGGTGGGTGAGGAGGAGCAGCAGGGGACCCACACTGTGATGATCCAGGACCCCTTCCAGCAGGCAGCCTCCATGGGTCTGGGTGAGGAGCACCATCTGGTGGTGTCGTCTGACGATGTGGAGGGCATGGAGACGGTGACTGTGTACACTCAGGGAGAGGATGCCTCCCAGTTCATCGTCTATGTCCAAGAGGCTGTGCAGACCGAGGAGCATACTGTGGAATCTATCTGAGCAGGACAGGGCATTGGTGCAGGGATGGAGGAGCAGTCAACAGTTTCATCCTGGGTCATTCAGAAGGTGGAAGACAATTTGAAACAGGGAGGTACTACCTGAACTTGTCCAGTTAGAACACAGATTTGAATTGTTCCGTTGCTAAACATTTTGCTACAGTGTGCCCTATTGAACTCCACCCTGGCTTGCTCTTTGAAACCCACAACCAATCTCCAATGGATTTGATTGGAGTAACATAGTGACTTGAAATGTATCATTTCATCGCTTAGGCCTTTTCTTTGTGATTAGCATTTCCCTATGTCAATTCAACCTAATATATCAAAGGCTTTTCTTAGAAAACAAGATTTTGGAATGTACTTTTTATACAAGTGTAAAATTACTTTAAGGGAATAAAATGTGAACGTGGATAATTCAAATATTTAGGCCGGGATTCAATCTGTGTAACGTTGTTGACAATGAGCCTTTTAAAGGCTATGTTACCGCGTTCATGGTAAATGCTGCAGACGTTGTCTCAATCGGAAATTAGCTTTAAAAATGTCAAGCGCACTATAACACGGTTTTAGATTGAATCTCGGCCTTACTTAGCTAGCATAGTTGCAGTTTTCGTATGATGTGCCTTTCTTGAATGTTTACAACTGATCATTTACAGGACTAGATACTTTAGAGGTCTAGATTGTTGATCATGTTTTTCTATACCCCCCCCCCATCCTGTTGACTAACATTTCTACACATATTGGAATGTAAGTCAATGAACAATTAAACGTATATCATGACAAACTCAATACCTTGAAAGTGTTTATTGACATGAACAATTCACCCATGTCTGATCTCTGGTGTAAAACAACCCAAACACACTAATACACATGTATGAAGAGTGGATCTCCAGTACACTGCTCATTCATGCTGCCTTCAAATGCTCCTCGGAAGTGTGAAATACAAGGTTCCGACGGGGAAACAACCACTTGAACGACTCTCCCAAGTCGAACTTCCGAATGGGAAAGTCGTCGATGGAGATGATACCCGAGATTAAAAGTTGTGACGTTTCGTCACTGACCTTTCACCTTTTGAACTAAGGATCTAGGACTTCCTGCTCTCCTCAGCCATGAGTTCTCTGACCTGGTCATCTTCCTGGCTGAACGCCCGGCCGTCCTCCCCTCACCCTCCCCCTCCTGACCCTGGCTGTGTCTGGACAGAAGGTACTCCTTAGGAGTGATGTCATCATCAATGGGCCGCTTGGACTTCTTCTTCTTCTCCATTACCTTCTGCTTCCTGTACTCGGCCAGCACCTCCAGCTGCTGCAGTGTGAGCTCTGGTGCCAGGGTGTCTGAGGTAGTCTCTTTGACCCTCAGTTTGTAGTCCAGGATCTGCTTGTTGAGAGCTTCGTGGTCCACCCCGAACAGCACAGGTTTTTTAGACGTGGTGGGCTGTCCTGATTCCACTACATGCAGTTGTTCTCTGTAAGAAATTAGATGTATTAAGTAAACTTTTAAAAAGTCAGTCACTTGACTGTATTTACTATTTGAGCTCCAGTCATCAAAGACTGTCTCACCCCAGTCCGTCTTTCCCGTCCTGATCTTCAGGACCAAAGTCAGCCATCTTGAGTAGGTTTTCAACCTAACAGCACAGTGGACAAGCACAAAGTCCATCAGCACAAAGTATTTTTAATACATTTTGAATATCGTTTGTGTTCTAATGAATATGAAATACCAAGTACCTCAGACATGGCTGCGTACTGTTTATCCTTTATGAAAACCAAAGGAGGGACGCCACCAAGGGTTTGATGAGCCATAATGAGGTACCTGTTAACAACAGAGAAGCACAGGGGTTCTCTCTAACATTATCCTGAAACAACCTAGCCTGAGTGTCAGTCTCTGTGTGCTATCCTGCCAACTCCTTGTCATGTTAAGTTTGTCTTGACAAGGACCGCAATGCAGTTGGCAAGAACACATAGATCTGGAACCAGGCTAGAAACAATCCTCACAGAAAGAGAAGAGTACTGCTATTTTATGACATAGTGCTTACCTTATACGAGGGCTGCTCTTGTCCAGTGCTTGCTGAATCTGGTCATCCCTCTCTGACACACCACTGGTTTTCCAATAGACCCGGCAACTAGAGAAGTCTGCAGGCAGTGAGACCTGGTGTGACACAGACAAGTTGCCATTTGAATGGAACTGTCCACAATACTAACACCAATCCTATGAAGCTACCTTGCATTAACAAAATGTCATTGAATATTTCAGTCCAAGTTGAAGTACTTCCTAGCCTGGTCCCAGATCTGCAAGTCCTCTTGCTTACTTCAATGCTGTCATTGTCAAGCCAAACATGACAATGGGTTGGCATGATGGCACAAACACACTGGCACTCAGGCTAGGTTATTCCTACCCTTGAGATGTCCACACTGTAGTTGTAGACCTCAGAGTTGACTTCAGGGGAGCTCAGTAGATCAGTGATGGCCTTGTACAGGATAGAGTTGAGGACTCTGGTGCGCATGTTGTCCTCTTGGTTTTGTTTCTTAGGTGGCTTCAGAGCACTGAGCTGACTGGACGGTGGCGCCTGTCAGAATTACACAAAGGTTAAAGTGTGAAACGAGATACAGCAAGCCTGAGTACCAGTCTGTTTCTACTGTCTTGACAACTCCTTATGGACTTGTTATGTCAATGATAACAATGGAGCCAGGCTAAGAATAAGTATAATTACAATCTAAATCATGACATGAGACAGTGTACCAACCTTGGGTGGTGTTTCATACCAGAGCTTCTTCCTGTTGAAGACATGCAATGAAGAAAAAGTTTACACAAGTCATAGCAGAAGGAGCCTGGTAGCTGATCCGTTTGTGCTCATGCCAACTCCATTACTGTCATGTTGGCTCAAACAGACTAAACACAGACTAGCAAGAGTACTACTAGGCCGATTACTTGAAACTTGATAGCTAGGCTAGCAAGACATGATGAATCAAATCAGACAACTCGGGACTTGCTACCAAAACGTCAAACCATAACGTTCTCTTACTTTGTTTTGTTGACAAACTTCCTCATCAGGTTTTTACCAGCACAATTGGAAGAAGTGTGAAAATCTCTTCTGTCATGACAAACTGATGAGATGGAACGGTGCTCGCAGTTCAAATGATGGAATCGATGCTGAAGATCAAGTTCGACGCTGCCGCTGGTCCGTTTCTTCATAGCCATACCACTGCTCGCGTAATGCTGAAGAACTAGACATTGTTTTAATCTTGAGTATGTATTAATTCCAAACATAATCAATATGTTTCTCAAACCTTTAAAAAGCGAGTGAATTTTTCGGTCGCACACCAGCTATCTAGCCAGCATGTATGTAAACATCATCCTGCGCAACTAGTAATGTCTGTCTGAAGAATGGGTTAAGGCAGAAGCAATCGATGGCAAAGCTACTTCTTCTTTGTTATTATGGCAAACAAACGGTATAGGTGCATGCCGCCACCTACTGTATTGGCTGTGTATCTGCCTACTATTTGCCATAATTTTTATAAAAAAAGATCTATACAATTGTTATATTCTACTTGTAGCCTTGTTGGGTGTATATCAAGCCAGGCCATAATATATGTATTTCATTTTAATCCACATGCCAAACCCAATAAAGAAACAAACAAATATGGGAATTTATGGGCAATACAAAACACAGATGAAAGAGAAAAGAACAAAAACACAGATCCTTTAATTTAGCACACCATGGAAACAATGGTTCATTTGAGCATGAAAATAAAAGTTCTATAGGAGAACCGAGGCACTTATCCTACGCATCTTGAATGTCACTTTATTATATACTACAGCATATTATGCAAATAAACTGCTTTAGTTTTGAGCCAAATAATGTGTTTACAAGCTGCGAAGTTATACTGTACAAATAGTTATCAATGACGAGGTTCCAAATAAATATTGTATGCGTTCACGAGTTCTTGGGTATATTAACAGATCGTATAAAATATCTACACACATTTAAATTCTACTAAACACTCTTTACAATTGTACAAAAAATTGGTCCACACTGTAGTGGTCGTCAAAATGGGTAAATGTATACACTCAAGTGTTAATTGACAAATACCAGTTAGACTTTTTTTATTTTATGACCTCAAAGGGACATCTATTCTCATGACTCTTTCCCTTGTCTTTAAATGTTGTCTAGATGACATTGTTTTCTTTCAAATTCCCTTTTTATAATAAGAAAATAATGCCAAGGGCTAACACCGTTTCTTTCTATACATCCAAAATATATTTCTAGATAAACACAGCTTGCAATTTGGGCAATATATTTCCTATCTTTTTTTTTTTGCACACTGACTCACTTTGAATTTTTTTGCATTCTGTCTGCATACTGACTGTGCATACAGTAAGTTAGACGTTTACTTTCACTGGTTCAGCTTTCACTGGTTCAGCTTTCACTGGTTCAGCTTTCACTGGTTCGGCTTTCACTGGTTCGGCTTTCTCTTCAGGTTCAATCTCTGGAACAACAAGGTCGTGCTTCAGCTTGTTCAGCTCAGTCCAGTTAAACCCCATCAGAACCTTAGTCTTCTTCTGTCGGAGCGCTTTCATACACCTGCTGCGCTTCGCTCCAAACAGAGACGCCACATCAGTCCTCTGGAACCACAGGCGGCCTGCCAGGGCCTCCATCTCTTTCCTGGACAGGTAGGGCCTCTGGTGGAAGTATTTGGTGAGGAACACCTTTCTATCCTCGAAGGGGCGCATCTCCATTCCTGTGGGGTCTAGCACCAGGGGCACAGTGGGGTCGAATGTAAAAGCACCAGGTTTGGATTTGTGCCCCCCCTGCTGCTTGGTGGCCCCCCCTGTCGCTTCTCTAGACTTACTCTGTCTGCTCTGGTCCAGGGCAGCGGCCGGCACGCCACCGTTGATTGTCTGGGCATTTGGATCAGGGTTGATCAATCTCTCTGCATCCTTGGCTGCCTTGGGGGCACACCTGCAGCGCTGGACGTGTATGGAGATGGTCTTGGAAGTGGACTTGTCTGTGTACACCCCCAGGCAGTATACACACTTGAAGGCTGGGGCCTTCAGTATGGCATGTATAGTGGGTACAATGTGGTGCTTTGTCTTTAGATGTAGCTCGTAATCCTCCCCGTTCTGAGGCTTCTCTGGACAGAAGGGACAACCGTCTTTTGCTAGGTTTTGATATGCGGACTTGACAGACTCTCGTCTCAGCTTCAGATAGATCCGGTCTTTAGTTGATGTGACCAGAACCACGTTCAGCTCCTTGTCTGCCAGCAGGTCTTTAGGGACAGTTGCGCTCATGTCAAAAAAAGGAAACAAAAGCCCCCCCTGTGGATTGATGCCCAGACGATATTTCTCTTTGAGGATGTCACAGTTGGCTTTGTCTGAGAGCTTGTGTTCCTTGCCCATGTGCTCCATGACTTGCTGGATGGAATAGAACACCAGTGGGCAGAGCAAACACTGCAGACCATGCAACAAATGCTGAAAAATACCCTTCTCCGACAATAACGTTTTACATCTGGTGCATTTCACTGTGTTATTCTCCATCTTCTTCAGAAATTGTGTCTGGACAGCCAACTCTCTGGGTTTCTCAGTGCTGTTGTCACCTTGTGTGTGGTTCATCACGGCAGTGCTAGGCGTTTGATTGGACACCGTACCGTTTCCCATGACGATAATAGTCGGCGGCTTGTTCTGCTGTTGTAGAGTGGTCATGTTCTGCGTCACAAGTACACCTTTATTGACAATTTGGGTGACACCAGCAGACTGGACTGGCATGGCGACCTGAACGGTTTCCAGTGTGTAGGTCGGCATGCCGTTTACCTTGTTGCCAGTAGGGACCAGACGGACAGACTGGGAGGACATGACAGCTCCTCTGGGACCAGACTGGGTCAACATAAGGGGCTGGGAACCAGCACCCATCTTGTTTTGGACATTGATTTGGACACCAGGTGGAAGTAGGACCTGTCGGGGCTGTTGTTGTTGTTGTTGGGGCACTCTAATTGTTATTGGTAACGGTTTGGTGGCATTCTGCTGGCCGGTGGGCAGCATCATTCTGATGGGACCAGCTTTGACGAGTGTGGAGGTGGGCAAGGCAGCACGGTTCTGAAGAGAAGTCACAGCCTGCTGAGTGAGTATTAAGCCCTTTCCTCCCGGGCCCTGTGTGGGAAGGAACATGTGTCTTGGGTCTGGACCACACACAAGGGCCGTTGTGTTACTTGGAGCGGCCAGAAGCATAGTACCGGTGGAGAGGGCTTTCGTTATGGGCCTTCCGTTGGGTTGTTGTTGGTTACTGTTCTTGGAGACCAGAGAGACTACCTTTTGGACAGCCCTGGGAGCCAGGTTCGGAAGCTTCTGATGCGGACCGTTCCTAATGCTAGTTTTGAGGTTTGTGTTGACGTGTTCGACGATGAAGGGCCTGATGTGCGCGTGCAGTTCCTTGTGTTTGTCGGAGCTCAGAATGTGGTAGAGCAGGTGCTCTGACGTCTCCGCTGGCATGTTACACATCCTGCAGAAGAACTTGGACAATTTGACCCCGCCCGCTGTCTGTTCCGCCTCGTTCCGGTGACCGTAGTAACGGTTCAACAACGATCCGTAGTGGTTCACCAGGACGTGTTTCCTCATGACATAGAACAGCGAGTCGTGGAACCCACAGCCTCGACACGAGTACTTGTCTCCTATGTCAGTGGTGGAGACCGAATGGATGGTGGTATGGGACGTGGTGGAGGTCAGAGTACAAGAGGCACTTGTGGTTTTGGCTGAGCCCCCGTGGAACAGCTTGATGTGTTGATTGGTGACGTCAGGGTGGCTGATGAAGGAGCAGTTGGGGCACGAGGACAGGGCGCTGATGTCCTCCTCCTCCTCATGACAGCGCTGGATGTGTCCTCTGAAGGTGTACCATGACCGGGTAGAGAACCAGCACAGGGCACAGCACAGCATCTCCGTGCGATATGGCCACTGTGTGATTTAAAAATAATAATAATATGAAGAGAGCATGTGATTTAAATATTAAGGTTACATTTAAAATATAAAGTTAAGCCATATTACAGTATTGCAACAGCTATAATGACAGAATAATAAATGACTTGTCCTCCACAATGATGAGCGTACCCTTTTTCTCCTTTTGCCATGGTAACCGTCCGTTAAATCCTCCCAGTCTGTGTTCTCAAAACAGTCGTCTCCTGCATCAAAGCATTTAAGATCCTGGAAAACAAAAAACAGACCAAGAGAGGGTTAATGCAAAATGAATCTATCATAGTACCGAAAGAAGTCCCACTAATATCTGCCCTTGAACATTTGTAGTGTACGAACAGAACTTACTTCCAACAACTTTTTGCAGTTGTCAAGTCCAATGTCACATAGAATATCTTTGACTCTCTTTCTTGACTGTCTGATTTTGTCCAATTTCTCCACAGGTAGTTGGTACATCTTTTCCCTGCATGAATAAAACAATTAAAACACAGCAGTAAATAAAAGGTTAATTCACATGCCAGAGGTAGGCCTAGTTTGACCAGAAATAAAAATACATTTTAAATCCGTTTTTTATATTTTATTGCAAACAATAACTGCACTTCAGTGTCAGTGATACAAAGTAGCATTTAGTGATGTTGAAGGTGAGTGGGGTGCTGCCTCTGACTAGTAAGCCAAGCAAGCGGTTGCCCCTGAATCACAGATATAGTTATATATAAAATGATAAAACATTTCTGTCATTAGTCATTGTTGGCAGAAATGGTACGTTCCTCGATATCGTTACTGGCTACATGAGCGCAACGCCAGCCAAAATACAACTTATAATTTGGCCACATCGTCTGCTGCGAAAAAAATTGCAGCTAAAACATGTTACATAATTCTGTGAATGGCACCCTGTCAGTTGAATGTTACTGGCTAGCAAATAACTACGAAGAATGAGCAGAGAAATACTAAACCGTTGATAAATAGTCAGGATGCATAATAATACTGCATCTGCATGAGCCAGCTAAACAGTTGTTAGCTAGCTGGATGACTGATGCTAGCATTGCATTGCCTAATGTGCATGCACACACAGACAGGTCACTGAGGTAACTTCACCGCTCATACACATTTGGCGGCAGGATTTAAATCTTTGGCGAACCGCAACGACGTTTTGGACACAATGTTTATCATGCAGACATCTACCGAAGATACATTTGGGAAAGTCTACCTTTCACGACCTGGCAGTCGAAGAGAAAGCTCTCGACCGAGTGCGTGCCCGTGAGTCTGTTTTCACCAATCCGAGTGGAGAAGAGCTTAGGCGCGCGCACTACACAGCTATGACAAATATACCATGAAATACTCGGCATGCACTTATCAAATAGTTTCCTTCGCCTACAATACCAATAATGGCAGAATTTCCTCTATTTTTAAATCAACCATTTCTTTTGTTTGTTCTGTTGAAGAGCATCATCCAACTATTGATAGGAAACATGGCGCACAGGAAGTGAGGAAGTGACGTATTGCTAATTACCATATTGCATGGTCAAGACCCTCCAATCAAATGAGCGTGTCTCTAATTCCTACCCTGGACCATTTTGAGCGCAGTTGAACAACTGAGTTGACCTTCATCGCAAGTGGGGACCACACCTGTTGCCACCAGGTGTATCAGGCTCATCTATTCATATCATACCTGTTGCAGCTTGGGACACCCTGTGAAATCACACCTTTGGGGAATTAACTACAATAAGTAAACATGGCCTATCTTCATATTGAATATAGAATACATATAGAATTCAAATGGAATACATATAGAATTCTAGAAATCAAATGGACACATTTGCCTGGTTCAATGACAGATTTCTGCTGCTATACAGTGAGGGAAAAAAGTATTTGATCCCCTGCTGATTTTGTACGTTTGCCCACTGAAAAGAAATGATCAGTCTATAATTTGAATGATAGGTTTATTTGAACAGTGAGAGACAGAATAACAACAACAAAATCCAGAAAAACGCATGTCAAAAATGTTATAAATTGATTTGCATTTTAATGAGGGAAATAAGTATTTGACCCCTCTGCAAAACATGACGTAGTACTTGTTACTTGTTGTCAAAACCCTTGTTGGCAATCACAGAGGTCAGACGTTTCTTGTAGTTGGCCACCAGGTTTGCACACATCTCAGGAGGGATTTTGTCCCACTCCTCTTTGCAGATCTTCTCCAAGTCATTAAGGTTTCAAGGCTGATGTTTGGCAACTCGAACATTCAGCTCCCTCCACAGATTTTCTATGGGATTAGGGTCTGGAGACTGGCTAGGCCACTCCAGGACCTTAATGTGCTTCTTCTTGAGCCACTCCTTTGTTGCCTTGGCCGTGTGTTTTGGGTCATTGTCATGCTGGAATACCCATCCACAACCCATTTTCAATGCCCTGGCAGAGGGAAGGAGGTTCTCACCCAAGATTTGACGGTACATGGTCCCGTCCATCGTCCCTTTGATGTGGTGAAGTTGTCCTGTCCCCTTAGCAGAAAAACACCCCCAAAGCATAATGTTTCCACCTCCATGTTTGACAGTGGGGATGATGTTCTTGGGGTCATAGGCAGCATTCCTCCTCCTCCAAACACGGCGAGTTGAGTTGATGGCAAAGAGCTCGATTTTGGTCTCATCTGACCACAACACTTTCACCCAGTTCTCCTCTGAATCATTCAGATGTTCATTGGCAAACTTCAGACGGGCCTGTATATGTGCTTTCTTGAGCAGGGGGACCTTGCGGGCGCTGCAGGATTTCAGTCCTTCACGGCGTAGTGTGTTACCAATTGTTTTCTTGGTGACTATGGTCCCAGCTGCCTTGAGATCATTGACAAGATCCTCCCGTGTAGTTCTGGGCTGATTCCTCACCGTTCTCATGATCATTGCAACTCCACGAGGTGAGATCTTGCATGGAGCCCCAGGCCGTGGGAGATTGACAGTTATTTTGTGTTTCTTCCATTTGCAAATAATCGCACCAACTGTTGTCACCTTCTCACCAAGCTGCTTGGCGATGGTCTTGTAGCCCATTCCAGCCTTGTGTAGGTCTACAATCTTGTCCCTGACATCCCCGGAGAGCTCTTCTCCCCTACCTCACCTCGCTGATCAACTCATCCTTGACCGCTGGCTATGTCCCTTCCGTCTTCAAGAGAGCGAGAGTTGCACCCCTTCTCAAAAAAACAACACTCGATCCCACTGATGTCAACAACTACAGACCAGTATCCCTTCTTTCTTTTCTTTCCAAAACTATTGAGCGTGCCGTCTTTAGCCAACTCTCTTGCTATCTCGCTCAGAATGACCTTCTTGATCCAAACCAGTCAGGTTTCAGGACTGGTCATTCAACTGAGACTGCTCTTCTCTGTGTCACGGAGGCTCTCCGCACTGCTAAAGCTAACTCTCTCTCCTCTGCTCTTGTCCTTCTAGACCTGTCTGCTGCCTTTGATACTGTGAACCATCAGATCCTCCTCTCCACCCTCTCCGAGCTGGGCATCTCCGGCGCGGCTCACTCCTGGATTGCGTCCTACCTGACCGGTCGCTCCTACCAAGTGGCGTGGCGAGAAGCTGTCTCCGCACCACGTGCTCTCACCACTGGTGTCCCCCAGGGCTCAGTTCTAGGCCCTCTCCTTTTCTCCCTATACACCAAGTCACTTGGCTCTGTCATATCCTCACATGGCCTCTCCTATCATTGCTACGCTGACGATACACAACTAATCTTCTCCTTTCCCCCTTCTGATAACCAGGTGGCGAATCGCATCTCTGCATGTCTGGCCGACATATCAGTATGGATGACGGATCACCACCTCAAGCTGAACCCTGGCAGGCTCTGATCAGTCCCTACACCCAAACGAGGGCATTGCGTTCATCCACCTCTGGCCTGCTGGCTCCCCTTCCTCTGCGGAAGCATAGTTCCCGCTCAGCCCAGTCAAAACTGTTCGCTGCTCTGGCACCCCAATGGTGGAACAAGCTCCCTCACGACGCCAGGACAGCGGAGTCACTCACCACCTTCCGGAGACATTTGAAACCCCACCTCTTTAAGGAATACCTGGGATAGGATAAAGTAATCCTTCTACCCCCCCCCCCCCAAAAAAAATAATAATATAATAATAATTAATAAATAAATAAATAAATAAATAAAAATAAAAATAAATTTTTATTGTAAAGTGGTTAACCCACTGGCTATAGGGTGAATGCACCAATTTGTAAGTCGCTCTGGATAAGAGCGTCTGCTAAATGACGTAAATGTAAATGTAAATTATTATTATTATTAAATGTTGGCCATGGTGGAGAGTTTGGAATCTGATTGATTGATTGCTTCTGTGGACAGGTGTCTTTTATACAGGTTACAAACTGAGATTAGGAGCACTCCCTTTAAGAGTGTGCTCCTAATCTCAGCTCATTACCTGTATAAAAGACACCTGGGAGCCAGAAATCTTTCTGATTGAGAGGGGGTCAAATACTTATTTCCCTCATTAAAATGCAAATCAATTTATAACATTTTTGACATGCGTTTTTCTGGATTTTGTTGTTGTTATTCTGTCTCTCACTGTTCAAATAAACCTATCATTCAAATTATAGACTGATCATTTCTTTTCAGTGGGCAAACGTACAAAATCAGCAGGGGATCAAATACTTTTTCCCCCTCACTGTAAGTATTTCTAGTCATTGTCATTTCCCATAAGCAGAACATTATGACAACAAATATCGTACCAGGTCAGAGGTGAGCTCAAGACAGGGTCAAGCATTAGGTACTTGAACAATATTTTTGCTAACTTATCAACATGGTCTGCATCTGTATTCTTGAAGTGGGTCAGGGAGACTGTTTTGTTTAATCTTTGATTTAACCCTATGGGCCTACTGTAAACAAATCACAAATGACTGAAACTGTGGTTGACATTTAGCTTTTATGCTCTTTAATCAAAGCCTGTGGACAGAAGGGCTGAAAACTCATAAATACAAATGCCAGTGGCTCACACAGTTCATAATGACACAGTTCATAATGACACAGTTGATAATGACACAGTTGATAATGACACAGTTCATAATGACACAGTTCATAATGACATTTGGGACACACATAATGGCTTGATATTTTGGTAAGGGGGTAGTTAAGGATTTATTCCTCATAAATGGCATTAGACTTAATAAAACCACAATAGTGCTGTAGCTTTAATAATAGATTTTCTATACTCAATGCATCAGCATAGTACATGTAAAGGACATGTACATTCACAGTATAACAAAAAGTGCCAGAACTGGATTTAATAATACATAATGGTGTTTCATGACTATTTCCATATTAAACGCTTAGGCGCTCCGCTTTGTGGCTTCAAATGGGCTAAGAGATTGACGCTGAGAGAGACAACATTTAAGTGGGTTCAAAAGGTCAGATCCCTGAATTCACAATGAATCATCAGCACCCTAGTTCCCTTCATAATGCACTACTTTTGACCAGGGTCCATGTCAAAGTAGTGCGCTATATAAGAAATGGGGTTCCATTTGTACCCAAGAAAGCAAAGGTAACTGAACTAAATGACTATTGCTTCGTAGCACTCACCTCTGTCATCATGAAGTGCTTTGAGAGACTAGTCAAGGATCATATCACCTCTACCTTACCTGTCACCCTAGACCCACTTCAATTTGCTTACCGCCACAATAGATCCACAGACGATGCAATCGCCATCACACTGCCCTATCCCACCTGGACAAGAGGAATACCTATGTAAGAATGCTGTTCATTGACTATAGCTCAGCATTCAACACCATAGTACCCTCCAAGCTCATCATTAAGCTCGAGGCCCTGGGTCTGAACCCCGCCCTGTGCAACTGGGTCCTGGACTTCCTGACGGACCGCCCCCAGGTGGTGAAAGTAGGAAACAACATCTCCACTTCGCTGATCCTCAACACTGGGGCCCCACAAGGGTGTGTGCTCAACCCCTCCTGTACTCCCTGTTCACCCACATAGCCATGCACGCCTCCAACTCAATCATCAAGTTTGCAGACGACACAACAGTAGTAGGCTTGATTACCAACAATGACGAGACAGCCTACAGGGAGGAGGTGAGGGCTCTGGGAGTGTGGTGCCAGGAAAATAACCTCTCACTCAATGTCAACAAAACAAAGGAGATGATCGTGGACTTCAGGAAACCGCAGATGGTGCACCCCCCCTATCCACTTCGACGGGACCGCAGTGGAGAAGGTGGAAAGCTTCAAGTTCCTTGGCGTACACATCACTAACAAACTTAAATGGTCCACCCATGCAGACAGTGTGGTGAAGAAGGCACAACAGAGCCTCTTCAACCTCAGGAGGCTGAAGAAATTTGGCTTGGCACCTAAAACCCTCACAAACTTTTACAGATGCACAATTGAGAGCATCCTGTCGGGCTGTATCACCGCCTGGTACGGCAACTGCACCGCCCGCAATCGCAGGGCTCTCCAGAGGGTGGTGCGGTCTGCCGAACGCATTACCGGGGGCAAACTACCTGCCCTCCAGGACACCTACAGCACCCGATGTCACAGTAAGGCCAAAAAGATCATCAAGGACATCAACCACCTGAGCCACTGCCTGTACATCCCGCTGTCATCCAGAAGGCGAGGTCAGTACAGGTGCATCAAAGCTGGGACCGAGAGAATTAAAAACAGCTTCTATCTCAAGGCCATCAGACTGTTAAATAGCCATCACTAGCACACTAGAGGCTGCTGCTGCCTATTGAAATCACTGGCCACTTTACATATCTTGCATAACTCATCTCATATGTATATACTGTATTCTATAATATTCTACTGTATCTTAGTCCATGCCGCTCTGTCATTGCTTGTCCATATATGTATATATTCCATTCCTTACTTAGATTTGTGTGTATTGGGTATATGTTGTGAAATTGTTAGATATTACTTGTTAGATATTACTGCACTGTCGGAGCTAGAAGCACAAGCATTTCGCTACACCCGCAATAACATCTGCTAAACACGTGTATGTGACAAATACAATTTGATTTGATTTGATTTGGGACACAGACAATAAGAAATGTCTCAAGTATAGAAAAGGTATAACAAAGGTTGGCAGTGTCTGTAGCACAGGAGGTTGGTGGCACCTTAATTAGGGAGGACGGGCTCATTGTAATGGCTGGAGTGGACCAGTGTGGAATGGTATCAAATACCATTTTATTCACTTCATTCTGGCCATTTTTATGAGCCGTCCTCCCTTCAGCAGCCTCACGTGGTTTGCAGTGTTCTAGAATATTACTATAGAATCATAAGGTGATGACCATTCCGTCCTCCTCCACCCCTCCCCTCTGTAGCACCAGGCTACGTCGTAGCTCTGTCCTCAGGGTGAGCAGGCTGCTGTGGTTAAACACACCTCCGTTCATCTCCCTGACGACTGGGCTGCTGCCGTAGTGCCGCTGCAGGGTCAGGTCTCTGTTCAGTCTGAGGTTCAGGCTAGTGAGGCTGGGCTGTGAGCGATAGGAGGTTGAGGAGATGACAGAGTAAGGCCGACGGGGAGGGCGCCGGGAGGATGGCCTAGGAGAAGGCCTAGGACTCTGCTGGGGCTGGGACCAAGCCTGGGAACGGGAGGCTGTGGAGGTTGAGGCACTGGAGCGACGGGATGAGTTTCTGAGTCTTCTCTCAATCACAATGTCCAAGTCCTCGTCGCTCTGCAGCTCGTCATCAGTGAAGCTGTAGGCTCCCACACAGATGGGCATGCTGTGGTAACTCTGGTAGTCTAAAGAGCTGACACTGCCTGAGTTTATCCCCGACATCCAGCTGCCGGTACGCACTATGTTATTACGCTGGTTCACCGGCTTCACCGTGATGATAAGATTGTGACTGTTTGCGATCATCATGTCTGTCACCTGGTCTAACACCTTGCCCATCACCTCGATCCCATTCACCTCAAGCACCTGGTCGTTGATGGCCAGCAGCCCTGTGCTCTCAGCCAGGCCTCCAGGGACCAGCCGTGAGATGAAGATCCCGGGGACCTTCTCCAGGCCGTGGGGAGTCACCCTCACAGTAGTCCCATCCCGGATATAGAACCCCAGGGGCTTCTCTGAGCCCTGGCGGTACAGTCGTACCCGGCGCTGAGATGCGGGCAGGAAGTCTGTGTCAATAATGGACGAGATGGGACGGAAGTCCTGCGGCCTGCTGATGTGGACCGTGGGCCTTTTGCGGTTCATGTTGCCGCGTGGGAGAGGGATCACTGGCACCTTCCTCCGGCGTGTCACAGTGGCATTAGGGCAGAAGTTGTTGTAGTCCACTTCCTCTGTGAATAGGAAATCTGTTAGCACACGTCTTGGAATGCAAAGCTTGTAAAATGCACTAACTAGTCTAATTGCTACAATGCAACTAAACTGATGCATTTTTTTTTACTGTATGGGTCAATGTGGGCAAGAAACAACAACCAGGGCATAAATCATACTGTCAACATCAGAAAGGATGGCAGCAGAGTATGTTCTGATTACATTTTTAGTCATTTAGCAGACGCTCTTATCCAGAGCGACTTACAGTTAGTGAGTGCATACATATTTTTTTTTTTCATTCTGGCCCCCCGTGGGAAACGAACCCACAACCCTGGCGTTGCAAGCGCCATGCTCTACCAACTGAGCTACACGGGGCCCCGTGTATGATTCTCTATAAACTATATAAACAGGAGTTCCTGAGGTTACATAAACAAGGGAAACAAATGTAGATAGTCCATCATGTAAACAAACATACGAAAATAGTAGAGCACAGCAATTACATGAAAACCACTTCCCCGTCTACTGCTGCTGGAGACACACAAACAACTTTCCTGATGCAAACTCTGATAAATCCCTTATGAAGAAAGCATGCAAGAAGGATATTTGAATTCCAGTGTCAGTCTTGGATTATATTTGATCTCAGCGTTATCGAAGCCTCTCAATGTTACCTGGCATTATTCCATTTTAAATGACAGACAACCTTAATAACTGGCTTAGTCTGGCAAGACTACTGTGGGCATTTAGTTGAGTTTCGGGCTTTAGAGTAAAACAACTGCTTGGTCTGGTCTGTTCTGGGTGTTTACAGCTATACCTTGTCTTTGTATGAAGATCCGCAGCAAGGTGGGAGCAGTGGACACGGCCTTGCAGAAGTTGTCATCGTTATTGATGGGTAGTAGCTCTCCCTGGATATCTGCATAGCCAATCATGACATCAATGCTGGTTAGATGGTGCAGGCGCAGGAGGAGCTTGTAGAAATCTTGGAACTTTCCCAGGGTTGGAGCGGTTAAGGGAAAACCTTCTGAACTCTGCTCCATACTAAAGAGAGAATGTTTCGGAGAAGTTTGAACAACAAAGAAAAGTTGTGTTTTCCATACTTATTAGATCAATCAAAGCAATTCATTGACAAATGTGATTTTGATATTGAGTGTCAGCAATGTATTAGGCTACTGGACTAAACTGAGATGATATGGACAAAACAATACATATACCTGTAGATCAGCCAAGGATTGTGAGCAGAAAATGTAGATGTTATCTATCTTGCTTATAGCCATAATATTGGCGATTACATATGCAGCTAATAATACATTACTTATAATCTAAAAAATAATGTTATGATAGGTAAAAATAGAAATGAATGGGTGGAGGGACCACCACATTGGTGGTAAACAGATTATCTCATACCATAAAAGCGTAAACGCATTCTTTAAAAAAATGTCAGTAGCCTACACTAGGGAGACATATCGGATGTAGGCCTATATATAATTTTAGTCAAGGACCGTTATTCTTCCATTTATCGGGAGCACATTGCGCAGCTAGACAGCATCCTCTCCAAATGGAACAATAGTCAGCCCATAAAACAGGATGCCCAACTCCCCCGCCGCTACTTACTTTGCTTTTCACTTCCACTGTCGCACAATACTGCAAAGAAGACTGCGATTTACTTAAGCTCCGATTCATTTTCTTATTCTTCAGAGCCCCACTGGCTTCTGTCTGTGTGGGTTGTAGACTACTACTGTGGGTTTCGTTCAATCCACTGTCTGCCTGTGCGTAAAGTTGCGCTTCTTCATACAAAGCCGTTTTCCTGTACTTCTGCGGGAGGAGTTGCTGCTTTCTTCTGTCACATCAAAAGACTGTCGTTCCCCCTGACTGTTGCGGGACAGGGGCAGGGAGATTGGGCAGGGTTTCCAGGTCGAGAAAAATTTATAGCCCAATGACTACTCAAAACCCGCCCACAAGGCCTGAAAATTAGCCCAATTTTTTTTTTCGCTGCTAGAGAAGAGTTCCATAACGTTATCGAGAGAATTAAGAAGGAATCTCGATTTAACTTCATCAAAAATAATTATTATTGCGAGCTAATGTGACTAATAGAGGAATTTGAATATATCGCAAGAGAAGAGATAATTCGCCCTTATTAAATTGCCAAAAATGAATGTTAGGCTATTTTCTGGCAACTGCGCCGTTATTATGTGCCAGACGTTAAGACCACACAAACCGTTATAAATGGCCTATTTGCGAGATTGACTTGTCATTTCAATTGGCATTGACTAGGCCTACTGACTATGATTGTAAATAAACGTTGCCATGGTTTGGTTAGCAGCTAGATGCAGGTAGCCTATAGCCGCCGATAGGTCTACTGCACATCTAATTTCAGACAGCCTACAGTAGCCTCGACAAGATGTAAAATGAACGATTTAGAAGCTTGCTTAGTTTAAATTGACGGACTAATTTATTCAACAGAAGTGCTTCAGTTGCCCAATAGCCTGCTGGAATAGGCTACTGAGGATGGGGTCTTAATTTCAATCACATAATCAAATATTCAAATATGGATATTAATCGAATAGGCCTATGCTTGTCAACAACCGCCTGTGTTTTTTTTTTTGTTACCTGTAGCCTAAACTGACTGACTGTTACCTTCAATCTAATGCATTCTAATAACAGCTGATTGGCAATTGCGATAGAACTGTGACCATGATCACAATTGATAACTTCGGTCTCCTCTTACTAACGAGACTCAGCTGCCTGCTGCAGCGCTCAGTCTCAACACACACACACACACACACACACACACACACACACACACACACACACACACACCCCTCCCGTCCACTCACTCACTCACTCACTCACTCACTCACAGCCTGCCTCACTTGCTGATAGTCAGCCTGCCTCACTTGCTGATAGTCAGCAACAGCAGGTCAGTGAAATATATATTTTAAAGAAATTGACAAGGCGGCAGCGGTGCAATTAAAAAAGTAGCCCAAAAACACGCAACCAGGGACCAATACATTTTCACCCGCGACATCGTTTTCAAAGTAGCACAATTTTGCTAGAAAACCGCGAACATGGCAACCCTTGGATTGGGTAAAGTTTACCATCATGACATCTCCACCCCCATCCTTTCCATAGCTTCCCTCTCCTCTCCACCGGAGAACGCATTTTATTCTCTTAAATGCTGTAGAGATTGATTACATTGGGCTACTAAATATCTTGTAACCTTGCTTCAGATTTACAAAATATTTATAACATTTGATTTACATATTTGTAATGCATTAATACACAAAATAATACAGATCTGTCAAGTTATTTATTGTGCAGTTAGAAATACAGTATGCATAATGCTCCAAAACTTTAAAATCAGTGGTTATAATTAGTTAAATCAACAGTCAATGGTTATTGCATTCAGGTCAACTCCCCAATATGAAGTGATAGGAATTACAGTACATTTCCATGTACTCTCTGAGAAGGCATATTCACCATTGAGAAGCAATATATTCCATTTCTATCCAACATTTTATTATCTACAGTGTCATAACTTTTACAGAATTGTCCAGGATGGTGCTATGATTAGGTGCTTATTAATGTGGACGGTGAAGACTTCTGTGATCAGTGACACTGCTGCATTGTGGTGGCTGTGTCTCAATACGGCTTTGTGGTGGCTGTGTCTCAATAACGGCTTTGTGGTGGCTGTGTCTCAATACGGCTTTGTGGTGGCTGTGTCTCAATAACGGCTTTGTGGTGGCTGTGTCTCAATACGGCTTTGTGGTGGCTGTGTCTCAATACTAAATGTCTTCATTTCCTTCATCACCACTGGATAGATTTACACCATCCTTCCTTTCATGTTCTGCTAGATCAGTGATTGTGGAAGTTACGACCCTCTAAGGCAGGGGTGTCAAATAAATGTTCCCCGGGGGCCGCATTCAGACTTTTACGACCATGGTTCCCAAACTGAGGGGTCGGAAGGGGGGGTGCGGGGGTCCGGCTTTTTATTTAATGTTTTAAGGGACTCAGTCCGGCTTTAAACTTACTCTTGAAAGTTGTAATAGTACAATGCACAAGGTGCAATTTCGAAATTGGGTAGTGGATCATCAGTTCCTCTTGTCTCGTTAGTTATTGCATACTTTAGAGAGCTATTTATAACTTGTCTAAAATGTTTGAGGCTATTCAAACCACCCATTGGCCGGATTGGACCCCCTCGCAGGCCGGGGCCGTATGTTTGACACCCCTGCTCTAAGGCATGGCAGCTAGTTAAAACTGTCATGGAGGGTCCAGGGCGATTCCTGAGGAATAGGGTGAAGTTGCCATTAGACGCTGATTTTGGTTTTACATTTTGCATTTCGCCCACTAATGATTCAGGTTAGGATTGGGGGAAATAAGCTGATCCTAGATCTGTACCTAGGGGAAACTTATCTGACCTACACCTTGACCTCATCAGGAGGCTGGTTCCCTCCCAGTGCTGCCAGGGCGTTGGTCACCATCTTCTCCACCATTATCTGGGTGGTCTCAACGGAGTGTGTCGTTTGGAAGAGCAGCAAGGGGGTGGCCTCTGTCCAGGCAAAAACAAAACATTCATTTGTTATTTGAGGGTTACATAGAAAGTCTACACCTCCCTTGGATTTCTTCACATTTTATTGCGTTACAAAGTGGGATTAAAATTAATTTGTCATTTTTTGTCAACGATCTACACAAGATACTCTGTAATGACACAATTCTATTTATTTTTTAAAGATTAATGAAAAATAAAACACTAATATACCTTGATTAGATAAGTATTCAACCCCCCTGAGTCAATACATGTTAGAAACACCTTTGGCAGCGATTACAGCTGTGAGTCTTTCTGGGTAAGTCTCATAAGAGCTTTGCACACCTGGATTGTGCAATATTTGCCAATTATTCTTTTCAAAATTCTTCCAAGCTCTGTCAAGGTGTTGGGGATCATGGCTAGATAGCAATTTTCAAGTCTTGCTATAGATTTTTAAGGAGATTTAAGTCAAAACTGTAACTCGCCACTCAGGAACATTCACTGTGTTCTTGGTATGCAACTCGAGTGTAGATTTGGCTTTGTGTTGTATGTAGGTTATTGTCCTGCTGAAGCAGGTTTTCCTCTAGGATTTTGCCCGTGCTTAGCTCCATCCCGCTTTTTTTCATCCTGACAAACTCCCCAGTCTTTGCCGATGTCAAACATACCCATAACATGATGCAGCCACCACCATGCTTGAAAATAAGGAGGCAGAGATGTGTTGTGTTGGATTTGCCCCAAACATAAGGCTTTGCAATTAGGCCAAAAAAGTGTATTCCTTTGCCATGTTTTTTGCAGTATTACTTTAGTGCCTTGTTGAATACATATACTGTATATGCATCTTTTGGAATATTTTTTATTGTGAATATTTGTATTATTCTTTTCACTCTGTCATTTAGGTAATTATTGTGGAGTCACTACATTGTTGTTGATCCATCCTCAGTCTTCTCCCATCACAGCCATTGAACTCTTTAGCTGTTTTAAAATCACCAATGGCCTCATAGTGACATCCCTGAGTAGTTTCCTTCCTGCCCTGCAGCTCAGTTCAGAAGGACGACTGCATCTTTGATGTGTCTGGGTGGTTTAATACATCATCCACAGCATAATTATTAACTTGACCATGCTTGAAGATATATTCAATGTCTGATTTGTTATTGTTACCCATCTACCAATCACTGCACTTCTTTATGAGGCTTTCGAAAAGCTCCCTGGTCTTTATAGTTGAATCCGTGCTTTAAATACTTGACTAAGGGACCTTACAGATGTTGTATGTATGGGGGACAGAGGAAGGGGTAGTCATTCAAAAATCATGTCAACCCCTATTATTTCACACAGAGTGAGTCTTAAGACAAATTTTACTCCTGAACTAATTGAAGCTTGCCTAAATAAAGGGGGTGAATACTTATGGAACGGCTATATTTTAGTTATGCTTCTAAACAGCTTCTACCCCCAAGCCATAAGACTCCTGAACATCTAATCAAATGGCTACCCAGACTATTTGCAATGCCCCCCCCCACCCCTCTTTTACGCTGCTGCTACTCTCTGTTTATTATCTATGCATAGTCACTTTAATAACTCTACCTACATGTACATATTACCCCAATTACCTCGACTAACCGGTGGCCCCGCACATTGACTCGGTACCGGTACCCCCTGTATATAGCCTCGCTATTGTTATTTTTACTGCTGCTCTTTAATTATTTGTTACTTTTATTTCGTATTATTTTATATTATGTTTTTTTATGTTGTTTTTTTTGGTATTCTTTCTTAAAACTGCATTGTTGGTTAAGGGCTTGTAAGTAAGCATTTCACTGTAAGGTCTACACCTGTTGTGTAGCTCAATGACAATTTCAGTCTAACATTGGTAGAGGTTCAGCGTATCAGTCTTACATTGGTAGGGGTTCAGGGTATCAGTCTTACATTGGTAGAGATTCAGCGTATCAGTCTAACATTGGTAGAGATTCAGGGTATCAGTCTTACATTGGTAGAGATTCAGGGTATCAGTCTTACATTGGTAGAGATTCAGCGTATCAGTCTTACATTGGTAGAGATTCAGGGTATCAGTCTTACATTGGTAGGGGTTCAGGATAAGTCACATCCAGTGCAGCAGCTCGGATCACTTTCTTCTGGAGGGCTTCCACCAACGCATCTTGGTCTACAACGAGGCCTGTGAAAACAAATGGCCCAAAGTTTATTACGTTTGTTATGGCGAGTTAGAGTCTGATCACAATAACTTTAGGGTGAATCTAACTTGAGATCTGTGTGTGTGGCTCACATTTTGTACAATGCTCTAATTTACGTCAATGCGTGATTTACGTGACATTTGTAAGTTCATCCGCCCATAGATCTCGAGTCAGGATTCAGTCTTATGTGTGTCAGGTCCGTAGATATAGAATCACTGCTTTACTACTATGGGGACACTCAAAAATGACCACCAGTGGTATAATTGACCTGAATGGGGATGCCCATTCTACTTCTTCTAATTCTATGGTCTGGTCATACCTCTACTGATGTTGATGAGAGTGCTGGTGGGTTTCATCCTGGCTAGCTCCTTGGCACCGATCAGTTTCTGGGTGGCGGGTGACAGGTTCACCACCACCATCACAAAGTCTGACTGCTGGAGCAGATCCTCCATGTTGGGGCAGTACGTCGCCCCCACTGCTCTCTCTTCCTCTTTCCTGGAAAGAAAGAAAAGAAGAAGAAAATATGAAAATGAAAGTAAAGAAATCCCAACCACACTGTCTTTAGAATCACAACCACACTGTCTTTAGAATCACATCCACACTGTCTTTAGAATCACATCCACACTGTCTTTAGAATCACATCCACACTGTCTTTAGAATCACAACCACACTGTCTTTAGAATCACAACCACACTGTCTTTAGAATCACAACCACACTGTCTTTAGAATCACATCCACACTGTCTTTAGAATCACATCCACACTGTCTTTAGAATCACAACCACACTGTCTTTAGAATCACAACCACACTGTCTTTAGAATCACATCCACACTGTCTATATAATCACAACCACACTGTCTTTAGAATCACATCCACACTGTCTTTAGAATCACATCCACACTGTCTATAGAATCACAACCACACTGTCTTTAGAATCACATCCACACTGTCTTTAGAATCACAACCACACTGTCTTTAGAATCACAACCACACGGTCTTTAGAATCACATCCACACTGTCTTTAGAATCACAACCACACTGTCTTTAGAATCACATCCACACTGTCTTTAGAATCACAACCACACTGTCTTTAGAATCACAACCACACTGTCTTTAGAATCACATCCACACTGTCTTTAGAATCACAACCACACTGTCTTTAGAATCACAACCACACGGTCTTCAGAATCACAACCACAATGTCTTTAGAATCACAACCACACTGTCTTTAGAATCACAACCACACTGTCTTTAGAATCACATCCACACTGTCTTTAGAATCACATCCACACTGTCTATAGAATCACAACCACATTGTCTTTAGAATAAGGAACTGGAAGTCTGTTTGGGTACCGAGTCTGTGTTACAGTGAGTTTAGAGTTAAACCCTCATTTAGTTTGAATAAGTAAATGAGTAGTAAATGAATGAACAGGGATAGCAAGAACTTGAACAGGGTGAATATGTTAGCTTTCAGCACACAGCAGACCAATGTCTAAACCTTAACCATAGCCATACTGCTGTCTAGAATAAGGTCCTGCTGATTTGATTTGACCTGCATTTGATGTACTTTTGACGTAAGGTGTCTTTGACTGTTTGGAAAGTATGTAAAATAAAATGTATTATTATTACCTGCGGTTCCTATTATGATAGAGAATCTTCATATCAAATCCCTGTGCCCTCCTGGCCACCTTGTATCCTATCCTCCCCATACCGATGATGCCCAGGGTGGCCCCGCTGACATCCATACCCATGGAGCTCTCTGGCAAGTCCTCATTGTTATGGGTTAGGGAGTAATGGTGACCTGTAGGAATATGATAAGGAATAGAACGGGTTACATTCTCTCACTTTATGGGCCGGTTTCCACAACACAGATTAAGACTAGTCCTGGATTAAAAAGCACTTTAAATGGAGATTCGTCATAGAACACTCTTAGTCCAGAACTAGGTAATCTGTGTCCGGGAAACTGGCCCTGTATGTTTCAATGAGAAACTACTAACTCTGAGTCTCTGACATAGGGCTACCTTCGACGATCTTCCTTGCAGACGCCAGCATCAGGCCAATCCCGATGTCGGCAGTGGCGTTGTCAACAACATGAGGGGTGTTGCACACCTTCACCCCAAAGCTGTTGATCATGGGTATGTCCAGATGGTCCACTCCCACCCCTCCGTTAACCACCACTTTGAGGTTAGGCAGAGACTGCATCAGACCTCTGTCAACCTTCAGGGCACCACCCCATACAAATACTACTTTGACCTGTTCGGACAAATTCTTCTGGTCTGGCGGGAATGTCTCGTATGGGATAATGGTGAAGTGTTTCTCGACAACAGGTGCAAAGCGTTTGTAGATGCCTCCAGGCGCTCCGAAGGTAGTGGCCAGTATGCAGGGCTTCTCCATGTTGATCTGAATGGGAATACATCAACCATACAGTAAGTCTATGAAGTCAACAATCAAACAATATAATTATTCTATTTATATGCTATATATATTCTAATCATTCTCTCTCATTCTATTTCAATGGCATTCAACATAAAGTCTATGGAACAATAAATGGAGAAGAACGCTTTGGATATCACTATAATCCTCAATTGTTTCAACATTTAGAAGAATACAATAGATGAGATATTTCAGAATGTAAATGCATTCTAACCAATTCTTATTTTCCAAAAGATAATTCACTGTTTAAGTAAACTTTCTGCAGGTAAACGGCCAATCTACTGTGTGTCGAGATACGTCTGCAACAGTCGGCTATCAAAGCTCAGAGGTCACTACGTAACAAAATATTCTGAAGTTTTTTTTTCATCGTCAAGAAAATGTTCGTTAAATTCTCTTTCAATTCCTTACCAGTAGGGACATTGTGCGCGTTCTTCCATATGACAGCAGTGGAGTCTTCAATCTGTGTATCAAGTGGAACATGTCATGTCTGTCTGACAGCCAGGCGCGATTAATCCACTACCGTTTCACCGATGAAAGGAGGCTTCGTCTGTGAAATATTCACAGGGCTCTGTACAACATGCCAATGTGAGGAAGACAAAACATGAATCCACTAACCCACTCTGTCCTACATAACAGAGTATGTAGCGCCAGATAATCAACTCGAGAGCGAGAGAGAGAGGATTTACCGATTTTCTTACAGAGCAAGTGTGTGTGTGTGTGTGTGTGTGTGTGTGTGTGTGTGTGTGTGTGTTTGATATTTTTCTAAAACTTCCCTCTCTCTCGCATATGGGAAACCTCATTCAAACTGTGTGTGGTATGCATTAGTGTCTTTACATTTTGGCTTCATGTCATTTTTAGGTCTAAAACATCAACATCAGACTGTCTTAAAACATCATCAGACTGTCCTAAAACATCAACATCAGACTGTCCTAAAACATCAACATCAGACTGTCCTAAAACATCAACAGACTGTCCTAAAACATCAACATCAGACTGTCCTAAAACATCATCAGACTGTCCTAAAACATCAACATCAGACTGTCCTAAAACATCAACATCAGACTGTCCTAAAACATCAGCATCAGACTGTCCTAAAACATCAACATCAGACTGTCCTAAAACATCATCATCAGACTGTCCAAAAACATCAACATCAGACTGTCCTAAAACATCAGCATCAGACTGTACTAAAACATCAACATCAGACTGTCCTAAAACATCAGCACCAGACTGTCCTAAAACATCAGCATCAGACTGTCCTAAAACATCAGCATCAGACTGTCCTAAAACATCAACATCAGGCTGTCCTAAAACATCAACATCAGACTGTCCTAAAACATCAACATCAGACTGTCCTAAAACATAATCATATGACTGTCCTAAAACATCAACACCAGACTGTCCTAAAACATCATCATCAGACTGTCCTAAAACATCAACATCAGACTGTCCTAAAATATCAACATCAGACTGTCCTAAAACATCAGCATCAGACTGTCCTAAAACATCAGCATCAGACTGTCCTAAAACATCAACATCAGACTGTCCTAAAACATCATCATCAGACTGTCCAAAAACATCAACATCAGACTGTCCTAAAACATCAGCATCAGACTGTACAAAAACATCAACATCAGACTGTCCTAAAACATCAGCACCAAACTGTCCTAAAACATCAGCATCAGACTGTCCTAAAACATCAGCATAAGACTGTCCTAAAACATCAACATCAGACTGTCCTAAAACATCAACATCAGACTGACCTAAAACATCAACATCAGACTGTCCTAAAACATCATCATATGACTGTCCTAAAACATCAACGCCAGACTGTCCTAAAACATCATCACCAGACTGTCCTAAAACATCAACATCTGACTGTCCTAAAACATCAACATCAGACTGTCCTAAAACATCAACATCAGACTGTCCTAAAACATCAACATCAGACTGTCCTAAAACATCAACACCAGACTGTCCTAAAACATCAACATCAGACTGTCCTAAAACATCATCATCTGACTGTCCTAAAACATCAACATCAGACTGTCCTAAAACATCATCATCAGACTGTCCTAAAACATCAACATCTGACTGTCCTAAAACATCAACATCGGACTGTCCTAAAACATCAACAGACTGTCCTAAAATATCAACAGACTGTCCTAAAACATCAACATCAGACTGTCCTAAAACATCAACACCAGACTGTCCTAAAACATCAACATCAAACTGTCCTAAAACATCAGACTGTCCTAAAATATCAACAGACTGTCCTAAAACATCAACATCAGACTGTCCTAAAACATCAACACCAGACTGTCCTAAAACATCAACATCAGACTGTCCTAAAACATCAACATCAGACTGTCCTAAAACATCAGACTGTCCTAAAACATCACCAGACTGTCCTAAAACCTCACAGACTGTCCTAAAACATCAGCACCAGACTGTCCTAAAACATCAGCATCAGACTGTCCTAAAACATCAGCATCAGACTGTCCTAAAACATCAACATCAGACTGTCCTAAAACATCAACATCAGACTGTCCTAAAACATCAACATCAGACTGTCCTAAAACATAATCATATGACTGTCCTAAAACATCAACACCAGACTGTCCTAAAACATCATCATCAGACTGTCCTAAAACATCAACATCAGACTGTCCTAAAATATCAACATCAGACTGTCCTAAAACATCAGCATCAGACTGTCCTAAAACATCAGCATCAGACTGTCCTAAAACATCAACATCAGACTGTCCTAAAACATCATCATCAGACTGTCCAAAAACATCAACATCAGACTGTCCTAAAACATCAGCATCAGACTGTACAAAAACATCAACATCAGACTGTCCTAAAACATCAGCACCAGACTGTCCTAAAACATCAGCATCAGACTGTCCTAAAACATCAGCATCAGACTGTCCTAAAACATCAACATCAGACCGTCCTAAAACATCAACATCAGACTGACCTAAAACATCAACATCAGACTGTCCTAAAACATCATCATATGACTGTCCTAAAACATCAACACCAGACTGTCCTAAAACATCATCACCAGACTGTCCTAAAACATCAACATCTGACTGTCCTAAAACATCAACATCAGACTGTCCTAAAACATCAACATCAGACTGTCCTAAAACATCAACATCAGACTGTCCTAAAACATCAACACCAGACTGTCCTAAAACATCAGCATCAGACTGTCCTAAAACATCAACATCAGACCGTCCTAAAACATCAACATCAGACTGACCTAAAACATCAACATCAGACTGTCCTAAAACATCATCATATGACTGTCCTAAAACATCAACACCAGACTGTCCTAAAACATCATCACCAGACTGTCCTAAAACATCAACATCTGACTGTCCTAAAACATCAACATCAGACTGTCCTAAAACATCAACATCAGACTGTCCTAAAACATCATCAACAGACTGTCCTAAAACATCAACATCAGACTGTCCTAAAACATCAACACCAGACTGTCCTAAAACATCAACATCAAACTGTCCTAAAACATCAGACTGTCCTAAAATATCAACAGACTTTCCTAAAACATCAACATCAGACTGTCCTAAAACATCAACATCAGACTGCCCTAAAACATAATCATATGACTGTCCTAAAACATCAACACCAGACTGTCCTAAAACATCATCATCAGACTGTCCTAAAACATCAACATCAGACTGTCCTAAAACATCAACATCAGACTGTCCTAAAACATCAGCATCAGACTGTCCTAAAACATCAGCATCAGACTGTCCTAAAACATCAACATCAGACTGTCCTAAAACATCATCATCAGACTGTCCAAAAACATCAACATCAGACTGTCCTAAAACATCAACATCAGACTGTCCTAAAACATCAACATCAGACTGACCTAAAACATCAACATCAGACTGTCCTAAAACATCATCATATGACTGTCCTAAAACATCAACACCAGACTGTCCTAAAACATCATCATCAGACTGTCCTAAAACATCAACATCAGACTGTCCTAAAACATCAACATCAGACTGTCCTAAAACATCAGCATCAGACTGTCCTAAAACATCAGCATCAGACTGTCCTAAAACATCAACATCAGACTGTCCTAAAACATCATCATCAGACTGTCTAAAAACATCAACATCAGACTGTCCTAAAACATCAACATCAGACTGTCCTAAAACATCAACATCAGACTGACCTAAAACATCAACATCAGACTGTCCTAAAACATCATCATATGACTGTCCTAAAACATCAACACCAGACTGTCCTAAAACATCATCATCAGACTGTCCTAAAACATCAACATCTGACTGTCCTAAAACATCAACATCAGACTGTCCTAAAACATCAACATCAGACTGTCCTAAAACATCAACATCAGACTGTCCTAAAACATCAACATCAGACTGACCTAAAACATCAACATCAGACTGTCCTAAAACATCATCATATGACTGTCCTAAAACATCAACACCAGACTGTCCTAAAACATCATCATCAGACTGTCCTAAAACATCAACATCAGACTGTCCTAAAACATCAACATCAGACTGTCCTAAAACATCAGCATCAGACTGTCCTAAAACATCAGCATCAGACTGTCCTAAAACATCAACATCAGACTGTCCTAAAACATCATCATCAGACTGTCTAAAAACATCAACATCAGACTGTCCTAAAACATCAGACTGTCCTAAAATATCAACATCAGACTGACCTAAAACATCAACATCAGACTGTCCTAAAACATCATCATATGACTGTCCTAAAACATCAACACCAGACTGTCCTAAAACATCATCATCAGACTGTCCTAAAACATCAACATCTGACTGTCCTAAAACATCAACATCAGACTGTCCTAAAACATCAACATCAGACTGTCCTAAAACATCAACATCAGACTGTCCTAAAACATCATCATCTGACTGTCC